ATGGTAACAAATGACTCTGGCAGTGTCAGCACTCTGACCAGATGTGCCATATTTATTTCTGATACCATGTAGTATTTGAAATACAGTCCTGGGGGAATAAAAGGTGTGAAAATATCTGGAACCATTTAAGATTTCTATATTGCAAATATTTGTAGTAAAAGTATTTGTAAAAATATGCTACTTATGACTTTCTAAGACATAAACTGTATTATACATGGGATTAGTGTACAAAGCAGCCATTCAGATATACATTACATCTGACACAACACAGATTTTAAATCAATATTTCTATTTCTTTATTGCAGTGATACAACTACACCACTGCACCCTTCCACTTTTTAGGTGTCTGGAAATCACATTAATATTTCCCTTTCAAAATAGAAAAAGAGATTGAGAACATAGAGTCCTCAATCTCTTTTTCTGCAGCCCCTGTTATAAATGAACAGGAATCCTCTATACTGAGTGTTCCTGTTCATTTAGAACATGTGGAGATAGTGTGTTTACTATAACCACAATCATGAATGAACAGGAGGTGATGTAAATCACTTCCCATTCATTCATAATTGAGGATACAGTAACCATACTATGTTCTCAATTATCTACAAACACTCAGCAATCACTGATTACTGAGTGCTTGTACCTCGCTCTCCATCCTGACACCTGTCGCAGGAGGCTGAGCGAGGTGGTGCTGGAGGAGAGCTCAGCCTCCTGTGACAGCAATGGCTGTCTCCACCCACACCGCTCACCCAACCTGTGACAGGAGGCTGAGCGGTGTGGGAGAAGAGACGCCGGCCGCTCACAGTGCTCTCCTCCCGCAGCACTCGGCCTCCTGTGACAGTTTTTCTTCTCCCCACTGGGACACAGAGCAGTGCCCAGAGGGGAGGAGAGAAAGAACCGATGTGCTGCTATATCGGCAGAAAAATTGCACTTTTGGCATTTAGACCAAAGTGCCATTTTCGGACGATATGTTTCGGCGGCCGATATATCGGTGCATCCCTAGTTTAGATGAGTTAACATGAAAAATAAATTGCACAAAATCCAAGTTGCCTTTATGTTCATGTTCGAACACCCCCTGTTGTATGATTCAAAACATCCTCCACACAGACTTTTGTCTATGTAAGGTAATTTTTAGCTAATAACTACCTATTTTTTGCAAATGTTATTATAATTTTACATCACTCTATTTTCAAAATCACCGGTGGTTTTGACTGCCAGCTCATCCCTTGGTGCATCCATGCCTATACTTCTACACCAACTTTAATCATAAAGTCATTCATAGACTCAGTAATAACGAGTGAAACATGTCAAAGAGAGGAGCTCAGGTGGACAGTGAGTGTGCACTCTACTAAAGTTTTAAAGATGCCGTTAAAGTTGAGGTGTGGACATCCAGAGATATTCCTCAACCTGCAGTGTACCTTTCAGCGACATTTCTTACTCTATAGGGTCCACATCCCCTCCAGAGATAGTACTTACCCTGCAGTATCCACACACCATCCAGAGATATTCCTCACCCAGTAGATTTTATATCACCTCCTGGGACATTACTTACCTTACAGTGTCTACATCCCCTCTAGAGACATTCTTTAACCAGTAATGTACATATCCAGAGACATTAATTAATTTGCAATGTTATCCCGGAGACACTGCAAGAATGCGAAAATGCTTATTTAACATAATAACAATGTAATTGGTTTAGCTCCTCCCCGCCTCACGCTTGCCACTGCCAGACCTGCCCACGCCGCACCTCCTCCCCGCCTCACGCTTGCTGCTGCCAGACCCGCCCGCATCCACGCTCCACACGCTGCCCCTCCTCCCCGCCTCACGCTTGCTGCTGCCAGACCCGCCCGCATCCACGCTCCACACGCTGCCCCTCCTCCCCGCCTCACGCTTGCTGCTGCCAGACCCGCCCGCATCCACGCTCCACACGCTGCCCCTCCTCCCCGCCTCACGCTTGCTGCTGCCAGACCCGCCCGCATCCACGCTCCACACGCTGCCCCTCCTCCCCGCCTCACGCTTGCTGCTGCCAGACCCGCCCGCATCCACGCTCCACACGCTGCCCCTCCTCCCCGCCTCACGCTTGCTGCTGCCAGACCCGCCCGCATCCACGCTCCACACGCTGCCCCTCCTCCCCGCCTCACGCTTGCTGCTGCCAGACCCGCCCGCATCCACGCTCCACACGCTGCCCCTCCTCCCCGCCTCACGCTTGCTGCTGCCAGACCCGCCCGCATCCACGCTCCACACGCTGCCCCTCCTCCCCGCCTCACGCTTGCTGCTGCCAGACCCGCCCGCATCCACGCTCCACACGCTGCCCCTCCTCCCCGCCTCACGCTTGCTGCTGCCAGACCCGCCCGCATCCACGCTCCACACGCTGCCCCTCCTCCCCGCCTCACGCTTGCTGCTGCCAGACCCGCCCGCATCCACGCTCCACACGCTGCCCCTCCTCCCCGCCTCACGCTTGCTGCTGCCAGACCCGCCCGCATCCACGCTCCACACGCTGCCCCTCCTCCCCGCCTCACGCTTGCTGCTGCCAGACCCGCCCGCATCCACGCTCCACACGCTGCCCCTCCTCCCCGCCTCACGCTTGCTGCTGCCAGACCCGCCCGCATCCACGCTCCACACGCTGCCCCTCCTCCCCGCCTCACGCTTGCCACTGCCAGACCTGCCCCCGCCCCCCCCCCCCACATGGGGCTCTATAATGTATTGCTGAGATTTGTAGTCCTCTATAGCCGTTTCCATTCTGCATTGATTGCTGTATAATTTAACACTTTCCATTTCACTATATTGCACACCACACTTTTTTTTTCTTATTTCCACTGCTCCAAGCTTGCTCCTGTGATGGACTACAATCTCAATTTTTGAGTCATCTATAGCTGATGCTGTTCTGCATTGCTGTATAATGTTATTGCTGGGAATTATAGTTCTCTATAGCTGTTGGTAGTCATTATTGCTGGGATTTATAGTTCGCTATAGCTGATGGTATTCTGCATTGTTGTGTAATGTATTGCTTGGAATTGTAGTTCTCTATAGCCAATGCCATTCTGCAATGCTGTACAATGTATTTCTGAGTTAGTAGCTGAACTAGCAGAGTCGCAGCAGTCATGCACGCGCACAGCCCTGATGTGGCATCCCTTCACTACCAGTGTGCTTTACATTTCCTAAACCGATAAATACATTCACACTACTGTTACATTGATGGCAAAAGTGGCAGACAGGGGCGGGGAGAATGCGGGGAAGAGGCAGAGTGGGAGGGGGGCCAAGTTGCCGCACCATGGGCCTGTTGTACTTGCCCCCTGGGCTAAAAGTTGCCAGTCAGCCCCTGGTTATGTGACCTGTCAAAGCCACCTCTCCTCCAATCACCAAGCTGTCCCTACTGCGACACAACATGCTCCATAACTACAGAATAAAAAAAAAGTATGAGAACACATTTAGAGATACTTTACATTGTGTGTTAACAGTTGATTGCAGTCCATGTTCAGGCTGCATTCTTCCAGAGTCAAATGTTAATGAGTCCATTGGGTCTGATCAGCCCAGTGGTGTAATTACTGCCATAGCGACCCACGATCTATGGAGGGTCTGGAGGGTCACTTTCAGGTGGGCTGTGTGGGGTCTATGGTGGGCTCTGCAGGGTCTCATGTGGTCTTTGCAGGGTCACTCTCAGGTGGACTGTGTGGGGTTTCAGATGGGCTCTGCAGGGTCTCTGGTATGTGCTGGGTCTCAGGTGGGCTGTGCGTGGTCTATGGCGGGCTCTGCGGGGTCTCAGGTGGGCTCTGCGGGGTGTCAGGTGAGCTGTGCAGGGTCTATGGTTGGCTCTGCAGCAGTGAGCTACAGCGTGATCTCTTCTTTGGCTCTATCGCACCTGGATCCGCCTACAGTGTCACACGGGGAATGGGCTATATGAGCTGGTCATTAAGCAAGAGGTTCCTTGATGAGCAACCCTGCAAGTGAAAGTGTAATCAGTGGGCTAGGCAATCTCTTTTGACTAGAGCAACCTTTATCAAACTTTTTACGCCAGAGAAACCCTTAAATCATTTACAGGTCTCGGGGCACCTGAACTAAAATAAATTGCTCAGGAGTCATTATGAAAATGACCCTTGCACTGGTCAGAATGCCACCCTTACACACAGCAGAAAAGGTAATTTGTGTCATGATGCTGGCTCTGCCAAGCATTATTAGACCAAGAACTATGCAGGCACCATAAGGCAGGAAGTCAATCTGACATAGCACAAGACACAACTACCAACCTCTGAATGTGTGCAACATCTACAGTCTGCTAGTTCACCATGTGCAGATGACTCAAATAAAATGACCTAGGTGCAGTGACTTTACATGCTTAAAGCTAGGTCTGTCTGTCTAGTGTCTACCCATGTGTCTCTCCACTGTCTGCAGGGACTGAACCTGTCACTTGACATTGTCCCTGGCAGATGAAAAATGTGCATTGCGTCTGCCGACTGTCAGGTCAGACAGCACATCCCAGAGTTCAGAGAGAATAGACGAACAGAAGGGATCAGATCTCCCGCCAGCTTTTGCAAGTCATAAGGCTTTGATCCTGAATCTTTGAAGCAGAAACATATTGATCTTCGTCTGTACTACAACAGACCAAAGTGACCTAATGACAGTAGCATGTTTAATAGGTTAAAAGAAAAATTTTCTCCCGCGCCATCACTAGCTTAAGTCTTCTAGAACATGCAAATATGTCACTGGCAGCAAGTGGCCTAAAGCCATTATGTATTTAATCTTCATAGATGCAAAACTATAAGGAAGAACAGCCCTATGTGGTTAAATGGAAACATCTTATAGAAATTCAGTTAGAATTCACAAAACACAAATTTAGATAAGCTGTTAAAAACAGCAGTTTCATTTATGCCTCCAGGGGTAACACAAGAGAATTTATCTCAAGCGACTGAGACAATCAGACACTGTGAAACTGCCTGTTCACAATCTTCTTTAGAATGTACACTAAGGTGCAAATTCGAAGTTCGGTACACCTTCTCAGCACACCTCCAGGGCTGTCTTTACCACAGGGCAAAAGAGGCAACTGCCCTGGGCCCCATAATTTACAGGGGCCCACAACAGCTGTTCCTTGCCCGGAGCAGCAGCTAGGAGAGGAGCGGCACGGACAATGGGGAGATCAAAGATCTCCATCACCGGCTAGCCCATTCTCCTGACGGGTGATCTCCCCTGCAGGCATGGCCACCCAGCTGGCAGTATACTTTGTTTCAAGTTTATCCCTTCCTTCTTGTTACCGTAGTTTACCTAAGCTGATTCGGCTCTGTCTAATTACTATAGTACTGCACAACTGGCGGCATACAACGGTGCGGTGGGTATGGCCACTGATCACAACCCCCCCTTCCCTTCAGGTGAACATAGTTGGAACAACAAGCGCAGGAGTAGCACCCTGTGGATGATCGCGCTACAGCGCCATGGTTAATGGAATCACCATGTTACAGAGAACTGCAGAACTCTAGGTAGTTTACTGCTGGTTACTGTTGGTCATCTGCTGCCTCCATCAGCCAATTGATGATGATGATAAATGCTGAAAGGGGTCTGTACAAATCAGCATCATGAAGAATGGAAACACAAACTCAATACCAAGACACAGTGTACCAGCGATAAATAGTGTAGCAGTCTGGCACAGTGTAGCAGTCTGGCACAGAAGATCTCTGTCACCGGCCAGCCCATTCTCTATTAGGAGGGCTGACAGGGGAGATCTCCCAGGCAGGGCCGCTTGTCTGACAGCATGCAGGGGGAGGGGAAGGAGTGGGAATGCACCCTGCCCAATTCCCTGCCCCCCACCAGTCCAGTGCATGTGGCCACTGATCATCCCTGCACGTGGCTGCTGACCATCTACCCCTGGTTTGTTGGGCAGCAGCCATCAACCCCCCTCCCCTATGCATCTGGTATGCACAACCACCATCACATGGGATGGGTAACATTCAAATATGTCTAAAAAAGCCAACAAAGTTCAGAGGTTGCATGAAGAAGTGTCAGGGGGGCATAGAATAGTGATGGAGATTCAGTACCCGAGGGCCGCCTTAAAATTTAATGCATTAGGGAATAGAATGGATTTTGTTTGTGGCAATGGTATAATAAGTAACGATTAGCATGGATTTATGAAGGACCGTTCTTGCCAGACAAACCTACTAACATTCTATGAGGAGGTGAGTAAAAACCTGGATGGAGGAAAGCCAGTGGACATAGTTTACCTGGATTTTGCAAAAGCTTTTGACATGGTACCACATAAATGCTTAATACACAAGCTGCAATCTATGGGCATAGATGAAATGGTGAGTACATGGATAGAGAACTGGCTACAGGTACGTGTCTATAGAGTATCAGTACATGGCTCTTTTTCTAATTGGTTAGGGGCTTAACTAACAGCGGTGCAGCTGGTGAAGCCAGCCCAGGGCTCAAGGCTAGGGGGGCCCACTGACAGCGGAGGAGGTGGAGGAGGTCGGGACCCAGCAGCGCTGGTCCGGCAGTGGAGGAGGCCGGGCCCCAGCAGCATCGGTCCGGCAGCGAAAGAGGCCAGGACCCAGCAGCGCTGGTCCGGTATGTCCGGCGGCCGTGCTAGAGGAGGCCAGGGTCCAGCTGCGGCAGGTAAGAGGAGCTGCATGTGCAGGGAAAGGGACACCGACCAGCCCACCTGAGACCCTGCAGAGCCATCCCAGATGGGCTGTGCAGGATCTATGGTGGACTCTGCAGAGTCACTCTCAGGTGGGCTGTGTGGGGTCTTAAGTGGGCTCTGCATTACTAAGTCCTGAGTCCAGTGCGTTACTAAGTCCTTAGTCCAGTGTGTTACTAAGTCCTGAGTCCAGTGCATTACTAAGTCCAGAGTCCAGTGCGTTACTAAGTCCTTAGTCCAGTGCATTACTAAGTCCTTAGTCCAGTGTGTTACTAAGTCCTGAGTCCAGTGCATTACTTTACATTTTTCAGTATTAGACCTCATCTGCCACATAGCTGGCCACTCCCATATTTTATCCAGGTCCTCCTGTAATGTTACAATGTCTAATCCTGTGCCTATTACACTCCCAAATTTAGTATCATCTGCAAACATAGATACATGACTATATGCTAATTTTAAATTTGTTCACTTTAGAAGTAAGGCGATTAAGAGGGTTCATGATTTTGATGTACAAAATGTTTAATGGTGATACTAATATCAGTAATAAACTGTTTACTGTAAACTCCATTAAGAAGACTAGAGGCCACCACCTAAAATTGGTGGAGAAAAGAGTTAACCACAAAGGGCGTAGGGGCTTCTTTTCAGTTAGAGCGGTTACATTTTGAAACTCTCTTTCACAAGTAGTGGTATCAGCTGAGAGTATTGAATCATTCAAAAATCATTTCGATACCTTCCTCAGAGACCATAACATACAGGGGTACAGGCACTCTTACTGACTGGAAAACATGCAGACTCATATTGTATATACAGTATATACACACACACGCTCATAAAGGTTGAACTCGATGGACCTGTGTCTTTATTCAACCTCAAATACTATGTAACTATGAATTAGGAACTCAGTCCTTCCACTCTAGTTAGAACAGCCAAGCAATCTTTGGTTCCTTGCATAATTGAGCTGCCTAAGCTAGGAAGCATCAATTTATAGTGTATCATGGTATCCATTAGGGCCTGCTTTTAACACAAATGCCTGAACAAATGTCTTGTTTAGTAATGACATCTGATCTTATTGTGATACTAAGGCTAACCAGTTGACTGGAGTAGGAAGGCTATGGTACAAGACAGCCAAGGGACAGGTAGTATAAATCTAGCCTTGAGTTTACATCTGACGAAAAGTTAATTTCTTAATATATTATCTCTCATTAATAGACTATAATAGACTATAGACTTAATAACTTTATAAGAAAATGTGTAAAACAATGTACAGTATGCACCCCCAAAAGTCTTACCTCTTTGTTGCCTTTCCACAATTCCAAGCATGTCAAAAAGGAATGAACAGGGTGATTCGGTCTGCGTGTACTTTTGTTTTCCAGCACTGACCTCTACCATCTCTTCTAGATTTTATTACCTTCCTGACTTGGATTGTAAGCACTTACCTTCAGTTTCAAATTATATTTATCATAACACCTCTCGGTTAAATAACACTTATTTACATATATATGAACCGTGCAAGGATTTGGAGGGCTAGATTAATTTAATAAATAAACAGAAAGTCTTTGGCTCCACCTAGTGATGAAAATGCTTTATACAGTCCAGGAGTATGACGCAGAAACTCATTTTGCATAGGGAACTATAATCTACTTCATCCATTAATGGCTGTTCATTACATAACTCCTTAAACCACCTGAGGATCACAGTCCTCTTATAAAGAGGTGAGTTCAAAATGTTATGATGAAATCATGATTTCAGTGGTTTTGTGCAATGTAAAAAAAGCTTATCGTAATTTTGATACTGCTTATCAGGATTTCACCAAACGTTCAGTTTTTATGGCTTAAATCTTACATACGCTTCATACCTGACAAACTTTGCAGATCCATTATGGCAAATATTGCTCTCCAACCTTGCTGAAGGGGCCACAAAGAAGTGTATTGTTAAACAGTCTGTAGTGTGGATCATGTGTAAATAGCAAAATAGAAGAGAACGCTAAGGATGGGTTTATAAAGTTTAAAAAAAAACAGCAAATTTTCGAAAAAAGGATTTATTCTGAATTTTTTACAATCACCTTTACATCTCCAGTGCTTTGATCTTCATACAGGTCCTGCAGTAGGTGTCATTCTTGGGGCGGCTAAACCCAGGACTCATTTTGCCTGATGAAGGGGATCTTGTGAGACCCCGAAACATTGCTTTTTGATGCATTGTGCTATGTTTCATGCGTCAATAAATAGACGCCATTGATTCATTACTTGGAGTGCCGGTGTCTATGTTATCCTGTGATTATAGACGGTTGCCATTCGTTGACTGCCGCAGCACCCGTCTTTTATAAGGAACAGCGGTTTTGACTGCGATGGGTTCATGGACTGTAAACCCAGGACAGGGCACCCAAAAGAGAACACAATGAGGGGAATTTATCAAAACTGGAGCAGAAGAATCTGGAGCAGTTGCCTATGGCAACCAATCAGGTTCTCTCTTCAGTTTGTTCAGGTAAGATTTGAAAATGAAAGGTGGATGCTGATTGGTTGCCATGCACAGCTGCTCTGGATTATGTCTGCTCCAGTTTTGATAAATCCCCCCATATGTGTCCTATGTACACTTGTAACCTCGTGATGAAGAGTGAGGAGAAATCTGGCCAAGAAACATCGAGGAGGGGATCCCTGCCTAGGATTCCCTGTGACATTACAGGCACTAACACCATCATATCATAGGATACATACTGAATGAAATAATGGGTAGGGCAGAAAATTGTTTCATATAGGGAAGAGTACAACTTTTCTGAGTGCAGCTCTTAATGTACGCCCGATGTTAAAGGCCATTTGTGCGGGTATCAGCATGACATTTTGGAAAGGGGGGGGTCATAGGAAATTACTCTCTCCTAGCAGTTTACATCCCTTTTCTCTGTAGCATCTGTGAAAACAGGATATCTGAGCCTCCACATATGGGAGAGATTAGGGGCTTCTTCAGAATTCTCTCTTAACAGTGTCTTCACTTAGAAGGGCTTTGAACATGCAGGTGGAACTCCCGTCTAAGAACACCTTGTCCCCTTACTTGAAGCTTGCAATAACGCAGGTCCAGTCTTTGAATGCTTTCAAACTTTTAACACAGAACTTGAATGGAGAAAACAACCTGAGAAGGTGAAATACCCAAAGCTCTTCCTGGCCTCCTACAGCTTATAGCACATAGCTGCCACTGGAGCAACTTTTCCACAAAACAAGAGGTTCTCGTGCTGCTATATTGCAGCATAGGACACTTGCTCCAAATACACTGCCTTCCTCTACAGGCACACAGCCTGTTCCTTTAGGCACACAGCTAACAATAGAGCTAGAACCAGGTTCCAGCCTTGGGACCTCCTAACAGGTACACAGACTGCTCACTAAGGGACCTCTCTACAACAGAAGGACCTGTACCCTGAAGGGTGAGTGCTAACAAGGACCTCTCCCAAAGGACTGGCCAGCTA